ATGAGATCATTTTGTACTATTATGCAAAAGGTTTTGGAAAATGCAGGTATTCTGAAGCTAACAATGGTTTTAACGTGTAAGCTTGTATGGTTGTGGGAAGCTAGAACCTGGGAATTCATAGAAAATCCCAGTCATTAAGAGATGAATCAAAGAGATTGTTATTTATCAAGAAGTGGTCCTGAATACTGACAGGTTTCAAGAAAAAAAGAAGTCAAAGCCCTGTCAAGCCGAAAGTTATGGTATTGAGATTGTCAACTGGGGTGAACTGGCCAAATGTTCTGTGCCCAAGACGAAACCAAGGTCCATCGAGATTAAAGGAGACGGTGTTCCTTTGGAGAAGAAAGTGCATTAAATTGCATGATTACATACATCGTAGGCATAAATAGGATCATAGCATTGCATGATGATTTAAAATGGCTACAGGTTTCCCAATAATAGTTGAAGATTGAAGATATTGAAGCATGAAGATGAGGATAACTAGTTTGGTGATCTTGAAAAGATTGATGAAGACGATTGAGCCCGAATAGATTCTCGTATCTAAGGGCTCTTAAACAAGTTTCAAGATGAAGACAAATTTTCAAAAATTTTCTTGAACTCTGAATTGTTGAGTATAATATTTTGAAGCTTACATTAATGAGTGATAATGTTTGATTTTCAAGTTTAACCTTCGAAGAAAATCAAACTTAAGCCTTCACAAGAAAGTAGTGAAGAGGAAGAAGATATTCGAGTTCTATACTTTCTGAAGAAAGAGGGAGCGAACCCGTTTGAAGATGTTCGAGTTCCATATTCCCTAGAGAAAGAGGGAGCGAACCATTGTGAAGTTATTGGAGTTCTATACTTCCTGAAGAAAGAGGGAGCGAACCCGTTTGAAGAAGATGTCCGAGTTCTATACTTCCTGAAGAAAGAGGGAGCGAACCCGTTTGAAGAAGATGTTCGAGTTCCATACTCCCTAGAGAAAGAGGGAGCGAACCCGTGTGAAGTTATTGGAGTTCTATACTTCCTGAAGAAAGAGGGAGCGAACCCGTTTGAAGAAGATGTCCGAGTTCTATACTTCCTGAAGAAAGAGGGAGCGAACCCGTTTAAAGATTTAAAAGTTCCATACTCCCTAGAGAAAGAAGGAGTGAGCCCGTTTGAAGATTTTCGAGTTCCATACTCCCTAGAGAAAGAGGGAGCGAACCCGTTTGAAGAATGTTCGAGTCTTATACTCTCTGAAGAAATAGGGAGCAGACATGATTGTTGAAGACTGTTCGAGTCTCATACTCTCTGAAGGAATAGAGAGCAGATATGATGGTTGAAAATTCTTCAAGTTTCATACTTCCTAAAGAAAAGGGAGCGAACTCATATTTAAAAATTTTCAAATTCCACTTATTTTGAAGTTACAATGAATCAGATTAATTTTTTGAGTTTTTCATGACCGGACAAACTTGACCATCTTTTGATCTTTGCTCTATTCTCGTTATACGACAATGAGCAAAGAGGGGCAGCTGTAGATGCTCGATTTGTCCGAGGTCTTATTCGATGATTAATACGAGTTTATTGTTATTGTTAATATTGTTATAAGTAATTATTAACATATATATATATATATATATATATATATATGCATTAAGTAATTAAATAAATAAATAATTAAAAACACACTAAACATGTTATTTGATTTTTACAGGCCCGAACTTAAGGAAAAAATGTTACAACAGGCCCAAAACCGAACCAGGCAGGCCCAAATCCGGTAGCCCAGTGCTACAACCCACTTGGAGAAACCCTAGGCCTGTTAGGGTTTCCTGTCACCAGTGCCCAGCCGCCTCTCGCCCAGAACCGTTGGATCTGTTCCTCATTTAACGGTCCAGATCAAAGGACCATTAGGGTTTTTACCCTATACCCAGCGCCGCCGAAGCCTACACTATTGGATCTGATGAGATCCAACGACTCTCAATGATCACAAAGTACCGAGACAGTGAAAAACACCCACCACGCACTCCTCGGGATAGCACGAAACCACGTCTGTCGACCATCCATTGAAACCGAGGCCACCACCACCTTTGCCCGTGCTCACCATGTCCAAACCGGGGGGGGGCTGCACACAAAATAAAACAGAACACGAGGAAGCAAAAACCGAGGAGATCGACTAAAAAGCAGAGAGCAAACCATATATCATCAGTGACAAAACGTTCGTAGAAAACAAAATCCAGAAAAAAAAGGAATCATCAACGAGAGAAGCAAAAACATAAACGAAAATACCCATCATCAACAAAAAAAGACAACAAAAAAAGAACCGAGAGCATCCAAGAAAAAGGAGGATTCTTACCTCGATAGCGTCCAAAACCTTGTCCGTTCGAAGCGTAGGCACCTCTTTTCTCGAAGGTAAGAGCTTTACCATCATAGATCTAGGTTCGTGGGAGGTTAAGGGTTTGAAAAGTAAGGTTTTTGGTTAGTTTAACTGGAGGTTTTCTTGGGGTTCTGTAGTGAGAGAGTCGTTACTTTGGGGTTCAAGGTTTTTTTAGGATAGTATTTGAGGGGTTTGGTCCTCATCGGAGCCGTTGAACGGCGGGGGCCAGGTGGCCATGATTTTTTAGGTTTAAAGAAAAGAAAGAGATAGAGGCAGAGTTGAGAACGGCGGGGGGATGTGTTAATCCAAAATAAGAATAAGAGTAGAATAAAATTAGGTTAAAATTAAACCTAGGGTGTCTAATATATGTAGTTTCCAAAACAGCGCCGTTTAGCAAGCTCCAAAACGGCATCGTTTTGATGAGCAGGGGGAGAACCGGGTTTTAGGGTAAGTGGTCAATCTCGTTGAGGGTCCGTTAGTTTCAATTATTGAATTCGGGTCACTAAATCGAGGTTTCTGTTTTATTAAATTGGTTCCTATATTTTGAGAGAGTTTTGTTTTGGTCCTGAATCAAACTTTACTGGTTTCTGATTGTGCCTTGTTATTTTTAGCGTATTTTGTTTTGGTCCTTAAGTTATGTTGTTCTTCATTTTGTGTTGTTTTTTGAATGTACCCTGTAATTTTGGTTGCCTAGCATTTTAGTCACTCAACAGATTTACTCATTTCAGTGGTTAATTTATATTTTGCATGCCTAGTTTAATTTTCTTTCATGGTGGTCCTCTATGGAAATTTTAAATATGAGACTTGAGTTATTAATAGCATATTTAATTTTATGTTGTTTTACTTTAATGCATGTATGTACCATATCACCCAATTGTATTTTAGGCCTTGTAAATTAATAAAATTAATATTATATCTTAGTTATTAGTTAATTTAGTATGAAACCCATTTATCACATGTATGTTAATATGGTAATAATAAAATTTTATAATTTTAAAATATTAAGGTTTCATTATCATGTTTGCCGATTAGTCATGTGTGCAAGTGATTGGGTTACTTTAAGCTTAAATGTTTTGTTAATATGTGGCATTATTTACTTAGTGTTTGCATGTTAGTCTCACGTGCATAACTCGAAATTATTACATAATTTGATTAAGGGTAATATTCTGTTAATTTAAAATTGTTTTAAGTGGGTTGTCTTAACTGATTAGATATCTGCTTTAAACGATTTTAAAATAAAAGTGTATCCCATCAGTGACACCTAAGAAATGGATTTATCATTTTAAAATTTGGGAATGAAAGAAAAAGAAATGTTCGGCTATTTAAATTTATCGAGAAAAGGTTGTTATAACTGTTTAAGATCTGGTCTCGGCATTTGTAAATAATCGAACATTCTTTATCTTTCTAAAGGTTGGGTAATTTTAATTTAATCTATTTTGATGCTTTTGAATGTTGTAAAATTCATATGTTGTTTTGTCGGGGATCATAAACCAATTTAAAATTGAATTTGTAAATTTCATTGCAAAGACATTAATTAATCGACGAGGTACCGATTTAGGGCGCTGTGGGGGTGCTAATCCTTCCCCACGCGTAACCAACTCCCGAACTCATTTTTGGTAACGCGGACCTAAATTTGTGGTTTTAATTAAAATTAATTTTTATTTAAAATGACAACGTTTTTGGGTGTCCAATCACACCCTAATCAAAGATTGGTGGCGACTCTTCGAATCTGTGTTTTTATCGTGAATGAATTCCCAAATTTTCGAAACGAGAGGTTTTCTAAAATCACATTATTTTTAATAAAAAAATCAAACATAAAGATCATAATTTAAAAATGATGCGGTTTTCAAAATCTCGCTCCCACAAAGGTTTAAAAATCGTTTCGACAATAACTACCAGAAATCTAAAACCAGTGACATCAGTGAGGGGTGTAGCAACTAATAATGAGATATAATTTTTAAAAAATATAAAAAAATCTTTTAGATTTTAAAATGTCTAAAATTCTAAAAAGAATATAAATGGCAATAACATTACTTATTACAAACAATTAATTAATTTGAGATTCATTAAATTATAATTCACATAAAAAATATTTAATTCGAGTTTGATTCAATATTTAATGACTATAATTCGAGTTCGATTCAATATTTAATGACTATCAAACATTGTTGGTACGGGGCTTAAGTTGTTAAATATTATGAAGATAAAATTTGTTAATAAAATTGTTTCCAGCTAATTAGTGAGGGCCAAGTTTTTATCATTCCATGATCCTGAAGTGAAAATAACAAATTGTTTCCAGCTAATTAGGTGTTTAAACTAATTATCCATCTTAATTCATTAAATTCAGGAGCTGATGAAGCACATGAACGGGTGGTTTTTCTTTTCGTTTCGTTTATGTTTTGCTTGGTGAATAATGAACGATTGGTATTGCAACAAATTAAGGCACATAGACGGCTACTCATGTAAGGTCCATGATCCCATATTAGAAGAACAAATCAAACAAGCAAATGCCATGGGGGTATTCTCTGCACTGCACTTCCCTCGAATCTTCTCTCTTTCACAGCCATTTTCAACACTATATAAATAAATGATGTGATACCCTTTGAATCACGTTGAAGAGTAGTAGAAAACCAACAAAATGGCATCCTCATCCTTGGTACTAAAGTTTGCGTGCATGGTTCTCTCGGTTTGTTTATCCTTGGGGTTGAGTTCGGCTAATAGGTTCCTATTGGACCAAGCCAACCTCGTCTACACAAGCATGGACCCTGGTGTCCATGAACCAATAAAGAACCCTACTGACGAAAAACTTGGCGTTGGTTATGGAGTTGGAATTGTCAATGGAAATGGTATCGGGTATGGCATTGGACAATCATGGGGACAATCAGGAGAAGGTATTGGGTATGGTGTTGGACAATCAGGAGAAAGTCTTGGGTATGGTATTGGACAATCAGGGGGACAGTCAGGAGAAAGTATCGGGTACGGCATTGGCGAATCAGGGGGACAATCAGGAAATAACATTGGATACAACATTGGGCAATCAAGAGGACAATCAGGAAATAACATTGGATACAACATTGGGCAATCAAGAGGACAATCAGGAGAAAGTCTTGGGTATGGCATTGGACAATCAGGAGGGCAGTCAGAAGAAAGTATTGGGTACGACATTGGGCAATCAGGGGGACAGACAAGAAATAGCATTGGGTACGGCATCGGACAATCAGGGGGTCAATCAGGAAACAATGTTTGATATGGTGTTGGAATCGGGTCAGGTGGGAACAACGGGTGTGGTGGACCGGGGGTGGAGTTGGGACTGTAATTGGATCCGGACAAAATGGAGTTGGTGTGGGATATGGTTCAGGTGGTGTTACTCCTGGATGTAACGTGGGCAATTGTGGTGGAAACTGTGTACAATCCTCGAGTGAAGCTACCAAAGAGATGCCAAAGACTATTAAAACAATTACTTAGCCCTAGCTATCAGAGTGTTCTCTAATATACAAAAAGTAATGATGCTTACGTGATTTACAATCAAACCTTGTTGAATTATATCAATAAGATAAAAATAATCAAGATCTGTTTTTCTTTTTAACTAATATTGAAAAAGTTTGGACAAAAAAACTATATACACAAAATAGTATTCGATTAAAGATTGTATCACTCAGTATATGTCGACGGAATTGAGATAAGTGTCCAACTTTCTTACCTCGAAAGTGATCACTTTTCAATCCATGATATCAACATTGGTTAATGAAAGACATATGTGATACGAGCATCATATGTCTAAATCCAGATTTCAACCTAATTCTTCCAACGGGACCCTAATGTAAGAAATAAGTTTAAACAACTGGCAAGAACGAAACGACTTCAGCGGTTTATAAACTTGTTATTTCTCGAAGTCCTGAGTTCAAGAATTGCATACGTCAAAAGTATGAACGTTCATTGTCAAATGATCGAGATTCTTTAAATAGATATTACCTTGTATTTATATTAGATTTATATAAAAAAAATCAAAACAACTGAAATTGAAGTGAGTCCAAAATGGGAAATGCTCACGTGCGGCAGCCTTAATATACAACTAAAAAAATGCGCTACCGGTTTTGTTATTATTGGGCGCTTTACCAAATTTGATAAAGCGCTACCAGTTTTGTTATTATTGGACACTTTTACTTGAAATGTTACAAAAAATTGATGTTTTAGCTAAAAAATAATAATGTTTTAGCTAAAAATAATAATATTTTAGGTATTTTTTTACGATTTTGTTATTTAAATAATAATAAAATCGGCAACGTCTTATTTTAGCCTTATATTAAGGTGTCACACTGTAAAACTTCCCGTCCAAAATAGATATCCAACCTGACCAGTCCAAGCCCATACCAAAAAATTTAAATTTTTGGAGCCTTTAAAAACATATCATAATATCCAAAGATTGATGCAAAAGAGTTTCAGATCAATTAGAGGACTTAATTAGAGACTAACTAACTTTTTAAATATTTAAACTTTATTTTTTTATCAGGAAAATACTCTAATATATTTATTTTTATTCATTGAATTAAGATAATACATATTTTTTTTATCTCTTTTATCTAGTTAGTCTTTAATATTAAATCAAATTTTATCCTTTATAATCTTTCTTAACCAACAAATAGCATTACCTCTTTTTTAGTCAACGTAGCTCAGGTTCAATACAACTTACTTATCTTCAGAAAATTCTTTGTTTAAAATTTTTATATTATCTTATTTTAGAGCGGAAGTGTCCAGTTACGAAGTAAAAAAAAAAAATTGATCTTCTTTTATGGAATACATATGTCCGTCGTTTCATTAGGTTACAAAAGAATTATGTGGGTAAGAGTTCAAATAAATATTCGTTTGGCTAAGAAGTGTAAGGAAAAAAAGTTGACTAATGTTAAGCATCATTATGTTCATTTTTTTATTAACATTACGTTCATTTTGAATTTTAGAAGATAAAAATAAATTATCAATAAAAAATATAAAAAGAAAATTTAAAATATATGAGAATCTGGAATTTTTAGATACAACATCCACATTTTACAAACGCTGTTACTTGCACTCAAATCTTAAATTATATTTCTTTTTATCAGTGAGGTTACTCACTGTCTTTGAATACAAAATCCAGGACGTGTTTGAATGCTCTTCATTAAGACGCAAAAAAAAAAAAAAGTTGAATCCGTGGAATAGAACACGAAATTCTACAAATCTTTGAAAAGATCAACCGTCGAATTTTGAAAATTTTAATATACTTATTAATCAAGTTTACTTTTCTTTTTATTTTATAAATTTAGAATTCAAATCTCATCATGTTTATTTTTCAAAAACAATTGAAAAAACGCTAAATTAATTAAGTTGTTAAATATTATGGCAATGAAGTCTAATAAAATCACCCTCACACCAATAGATGAAGCTCAAAGCCCTAGTTAAGGTCGAGTCTTATCATTCCATGACCCTGATGTGAAAATAACAAATTATTTCCAGTAATTCAAGAGTTAAACTAATCATCCTTCTTAATGCATTAAATCAAGGAGCTGATGAAGCACATGAAAGGGTGGTTGAGAAGGCATAAGTCACATGAAAGGCTGGTTTTCTTTTCCTTTTGTTTCGTTCATTTTTTGGGTAAACTACACGGGTGGCAACCAAACTATGATCAAAATTCATTTTGACCACCAATGTTTCAATTTGATTAAAATATCACTCAATTATTTAAGTGGTTCAATCAAGCCATTGACCTTTAGTTTTTAACGAAGGTGATGACATGGTATGTTAATAAAATTGACATAATTATATATTTGATCATTAATATTTACACATTCTATCAATTTGTAAATGTGTGAAATAAACTCAAACACAATAGATAAAATATTGTGCAAGTTAATAACAAAAGAGTGGTTTGGCCCAGTGGTAAGGCCATGCCCAGGGACAGGACAATTGTCCCTGGGTTGAATCCACCTGCAAGCAATTCATGGGTATTTTGATTTCCCTTTGCATCGGTGGCGAGATGTGTCACCACCTGATTTGTGGGGAAAATTATTCAATTAAAATAGTAAAATAATCAAATTCACCCTCCAATCATATAGTGACATATGACACCTCCGAATTAGAGGATTAAATTTATTTAAATGAATTAAAATAATGACTAAATTGATAGAATATGTAAATATCAAGGACCAAATATATAAATATACCAATGTTGTTAACGTGTCACGTCATCACCTCCATTAAAAACTAACAGTTAGTGGCTTGATTGAACTATTTAAATCGTTAGGTGGTCTTTTTAATCAAATTGAAACATCAGTAGTGAAAATGAATTTTGACTATAGTTTGGTGGTCACCCGTGTAGTTTATCCTTCTTTTTTGGGTAAACTATGCATTTAGTATCTAAACTATCATTTTTGGTCCATTTTAGTACCTAAACTTTTAATTCTTTCAAAACCATACATATTGTTTAGTTTTTGTTTTATTTTAGTACTTCCGTTAAAAACTTAACGTTAAGTTTTAAAAAAATTAAAAATTTAGATACTAAAACGAACTAGAACTGATAGTTTAGATATTAAACGCGTTGAGTTTTTAACGGCGGGATACTAAAATGGAACAAAAACTAAACTTTAGGTATGATTTTGAAAAATTGAAAGTTTAAGTACTAAAAAGAACAAAAACTAATAGTTTAGATACTAAACATGTAATTTACCCATGCTTTTTTATGAATAATGAACGATTGGCGTTGCAACAAATTAAGGCACATAAACGGCTACTCATGGAAGGTCCATGATCCCATATTAGAAGAACAAAAAAAGCAAGCAAACGCAATGGGGCATTCACTTCCCTCGAATCTTTTCTCTTTCACAGCCGTTTTCAACACTATATAAAGCAATGATATGATACCCTTTGAATCACATTGAAGAAGACTGGAAAACCAGCAAAATGGCATCCTCTTCCTTAGTACTAAAGTTTACGTTCATGGTCCTCTCAGTTTGTTTATTCTTGGGGTTGGGGTTCGGCTAATAGGTTCCTATTGGACCAACCCAACCGTGTCTACAAGACCCTCTTGTCCATGAACCAATGAAGAACCCTACTGATGAAAAACTTGGTGTTGGTAGTTCCTCGAGAAACACCATGGGAAATGGCATTGGATATGCCATTGGAAATGGCGGGAATAATATAGAAACAGGTATTGGTTATGGCATTGGACAGGTGGGGGTCAATCAGGAAATAATATGGGATATGACGTTGAAAATGGAAACGGATATGGATATGGTATGGGGTACGTCGTTGGAAAATTAGGGGGTCAATCAGGAAATAATATTAGATATGGTGTTGGATAATCGGGGGGGTCAGGCACGAAACAACGTTTGATATGGTATTGGAATTGACAATGGAGATGGAGAAGGTGTTGGGTATGGTATCGGACAATCGGGAGGTCAATCAGGAAATAGTATTGGGTATGGTGTCGGACAATCGGGAGGCCAATCAGGAAATAGTATTGGGTATGGAGTAGGACAATCGGGAGGTCAGTCAAGAAACGGCGATGGATATGGTATTGGAATTGGCAGCGGAGAAGGAGAAGGTGTTGGATATGGTGTTGGACAACCGAGGGGTCAATCAAGAAATAGTATTGGATATGGTGTTGGACAATAAAGGGGTCAGTCGGGAAATAGTATTGGGTATGGTGTTGGACAATCGAGAGGTCAATCAGGAAATGGCGTTGGATATGGTATCGGAATTGGCAATGGAGATGGAGAAGGTTTTGGGTATGGCATTGGACAATCAGGAGGTCAGTCAGGAAACAACTTTGGATATGGCATTGGAGTTGGCAATGGAAATGGAAAGGGTATTAGATATGGCGTTGGACAAACAATGGGACAGTTAGGAAATAATATCGGATACGGAGTTGGACGGTCAGGAGGTCAGTCTGGAAACAACTTTGGATATGGTATGGAATTGGATCAGGAAATGGTGAAGTTGGATCAGGAATTGGCGTGGGGTATGGTTCAGGAAGTACAACTCCTGGATGTAATATAGGCAATTGCAATGGAAACTACGTACAATCCGCTACTGAAGCTGCCAGAGAGATGTTATTAGCACAGTTACTCAGCACTAACACTGTATAATGTTATCTAATATATAAAAGTAATGATGTTTCTAGCTTTACAATGTTGAATCAATAACGATAAGATAATAAACACAAAAGAGTCTTTTTGGTTAATGTATGACTGAAAAATTATAATGTATGACATGTTTAATGCTTCTTTATCTTGTGAGAATCATTGTGAAGTTAACACCTTCAAACTTATGGTGGTAAAGTTGGATGTGGTAGTTAATGATTTTTTGTAACAGGCATAGAGGATGATCTTCGAAAATCTTCGTGCTGAAGCCTAGATATAGTTGATGCAGAAATAGTAGATGTTCTAAGTACAGGCACACTGATCCTACTTGAAGCTTCGACAGGATGGAACATCAGTTCTTGGTTGCAACTCTATCTCAGTGTATGTACCATCACCGGCTTCATGAACATCAATCAACAGGTGGTTGTCTTCCTCGACTGACATAATTGTGCTTGTGTCGGTATGTATAGTCGAATCGTCCATGAAACGTCCATCTCTCCTCTTTCTCCTTGCCGCCTTACCCCACCCGTGGATGTCTCCCTTATCCTTTCTGGAATCAGGGCTGCTTTATAGTTTGTTCCCATCTGGAAAGGAAAACCATTTGTAAATGAGATCAAAGGCACACAAATAAGATTGTATAACACCTTTGGGGTAAGCACATGTTCAACACGACATTTTCGGGTTAAGCTTCAGAAAATATAACTCGAAGAATCAGCAGACGTCGATAGTCATTACGAAGTACAACAACCGAAAGGGATGTTACCTGAGTGACAAGAGCATAGAGAGGCAGGGTGATGTAGCTACAGCCATAAACCTACGAGACTGTTAGGAAATAAACGAGTAACAAGTAATTTCCCTATAGTCAGATTAGTGAGAATACGAAATAAAAGCAGAAAAATAATACCCGAAATTGATAATGGAGTTCAGCATATTGTGCTTACGTCTCCGGAATGCTGCAGATCTTTTACTAAGAGAGAAAATTTACAGGTGTTTACAAAACACTCATTACTCACAAGAAAAATCTCTAGTATTGGGAGAAAGAAATGATTTTTGGGATGATTTTGAAGCTAAATGAGCTAGGGTATTTATAGTTGAAACTTAAGGACTTAATCTTGTAAATACCCTAAAACCTAGGGATTAATTGTGATTATCCCATTATCATTTTTCAACAAACATCTACCAAACTTTGAAAAACTATTTTTCAAAGAAACATTTACCAAACTTTGAAAACCATTTTCAAAGAAACATTTACCAAACTTTGAAAATCATTTTTTCAAAGTTGGTTACCAAACTTGAAAACCATTTTAATACTTTCAACAATCTCCCACTTGAAGACTGATTTTAATCTGTCTTCACACCTCGATCTATGCAACAGCTTTTCTATTCTTGTTACTCTAGTATGCTAACTGAAGTTGAACACAACTTCAGTTTGTCTGTAGTCACCGTCTTTGTCAACATATCTGCCGGATTTTGAGCTCCACTGATCTTTTCAAGTTTCAAAATCTCATCTTCCAGATGAGACCGGATAAAATGATATCGCAATTGTATGTGCTTTGTCCTAGAATGAAAAGACGGATTCTTTGCTAGATGTATAGCACTTTGACTGTCGCAATACAAGACATTGTTTTCTTGTTTCTTGCCTAACTCTTCCAAGAAACTTTGGAGCCAGACCATCTCCTCGCTAGCTTCCGTAACAGTGACATATTCTGCTTCAGTTGTGGAGAGAGCAACTATCTTCTGTAGTTGAGAAACCTAACTCACTGCGGTTCCTCCTAGAGTATAGACATACCCTGTAGTGCTCCTTCTGATGTCAACATTTCCGGCTAAGTCAGCATCTACATAGCCTGTCAGTATCGTATCTCCACCTTTGAAACAAAGTGCTTTGTTTGTGGTACCCCGCAAATATCTGAGGATCCATTTGACTGCTTCCCAGTGTACCTTGCCCGGATTATTCATGTATCTACTAACAGCTCCCACTGCTTGAGCAATATCTGGTCTGTTACAAACCATGGCATACATCAGACTTCCAATCGTTGAGGCGTACGACACCTTCACCATGTGTGCACGTTCTTCCTCTGTCTTTGGTGACTGTTCTTTGGAGAATCTGAAATGAACACCTAAAGGTGTACTTACTGGTTTAGCATCTTGCATGTTGAACCTGGAGAGTACTTTGTTGATGTACTTAGCCTGTGATAATATCAAAGTCCCTGACTTTGTGTCTCTCTTGATCCTCATCCCAAGAATCTGCTTTGCAGTGCCCAGATCCTTCATAGCAAACTGCTTTGACAATTTTTGCTTCAAGTTTATAATCTCTTGCATGTCTGAGCCTGCAACGAGCATGTCATCAACGTACAACAATAAAATAATGAAGCTATTGTCGAACCTCTTGATGTAGCAACAATGATCTGCTTGGCATCTGCTAAAACCACTGCTACTCATGAAACTATCAAACTTCTTGTACCACTGTCTAGGAGCTTGTTTTAAACCATACAAGCTCTTCTTCAACCTGCATACCAGGTTTTTCTTGTCTGCCTCTATGAAGCCTTCTGGCTGCCTCATATAGATTTCTTCCTTCAAATCACCATGAAGGAAAGCTGTCTTTACATCTAACTGCTCAAGATGTAAATTCTCTACAGCTACAATTTTCAACACCAGTCTGATTGTAGACAGTTTCATGACTGGAGAGAAAATTTCATTGTAGTCAATACCTTCTTTTTGCTGAAAACCTTTGACAACCAATCTCGCTTTGTAGCGTTTGCTCCCATCGTGCTCTTCTTTGATCCTTTAAATCCACTTGTTGTGAAGCGCTTTCTTACCTGGTGGTAATTCAGCTAATTCCCACGTCTGATTTGACAAAAGCGAGTCCATCTCATATTTCATGGAAGACTCCCACTTGAGTGAATCCTCCACTTGCATTGCTTCATCATAGCACTCTGGTTCACCATTGTCAGTCAGCAACAAGTAGTGCAAAGAAGGAGAATACTGTTGGGTTGGTTTAGGAATTCTGGAGGATCGTCTTAGTTTCGGTGTGCCTGGTTCTTCTTGAACTGCTTCAGGACTGATCTTAACATCATTTCCAGAAATCTCCTCAAACTCAGCAAATTCCTTTGTTTCAGCTTTGGTATTGGAGCTGCTTGATTCTACAGTTGACCTGTCTTTGTACATTACATTCTCATTGAAAATGACATCTATGCTTCTGATGATCTTCCAATTTTCATAGTCCCAAAACCGGTAACCGAACTCATCACCGCCGTAACCAACAAAGGCACATATTTTGGACTTAGCATCAAGTTTACTTCTTTCAGCAGAGTCTATGTGTACATAAGAAATACAACCAAACACTCTTAAGTGTGAAAGGTTTATTTCTTTCTTGCTCCAAACTTCCTCTGGTATTCTGCCATCCAAAGGAACTGAGGGCCCACGGTTGATCAGGTAAGCTGCAGTGTTAATAGCTTCAGCCCATAGAAATTTGGGAAATCCGGCATGTATCCTCATGCTTTTGGCACGTTCATTCAGAGTTCTGTTCATGCGCTCTGCTACGCCATTCTGCTGTGGTGTCATGGGAACTGTTGTCTCCATCTTGATCCCATTATTTGCGCAAAAATCTCTGAATCTCCTATTTCTGTACTCTCCTCCATTGTCAGACCTCAACCGCTTGACTTTCATACCATTTTCATTTTCCACCATGGCCTTCCATTTTCTGAAGGTATCAAAGACTTCTGATTTTTTCTTCAGAAAATAAACTCACACATTCCTTGTAGAATCATCGATGAAGGTGACATAATATAATGAGCCTGCAAGATATGGAACTAGAGATGGTCCCCATACATCAGTATGAACTAACTATAACTTTTCAGCCTTGGGTGTCTTACCAATCTTTGCAAAGCTGACTTTCTTTTGTTTTCCAAAGATGCAATCCTCGCATAGTCCGACATCTACATTCTTTAGATCCGACAGCTTCCCCTTTGACAAAAAGTGTCTTCATCCCTTTCTCGCTCATATGGCCAAGCCTTTGGTGCCATAGGTTTGATTTTCCATCAGCATCTGCTACTGCAATGATATTCTCTAAATTTGAGGTTACATAGAGAGTACCAGTCTTCTTACCACGAGAAATGACGAGTGCTCCTTTGGTAATCTTCCATTCACAACCTGAAAAGGTTGTACTGTATCCTTCTTCATCAAGCTGTCCTACAAAAATCAAATTTCTTTTGAGACCAGGAATATGTCTCACTCCTGTCAGCTTCCAGGTGGTCTGGTTTGGCAGCTTTAGTCGGATGTCTCCTTTTTCGACGATCTTCAAGGTTTCATCATCAGCAAGATGAACCTTCCCAAAATCACCACTGGCATAGTTCTCCATGATTTCTTGGCATAGCGTGGAGTGGAAAGATGCCCCTGAATCCAAGATCCATGATTCAATCAGACTGTTGACGCTTAAAATCATGGCATCACATGTCTCCTCCGTCATGTTGGTAGATTCCTGTGCGGCGGTATTTTTCTTCGGTGCTCGGTAATCTCTTTTGAAGTGGCCCTTCT